TAAAAATTCAGCTTTGCCATCACAGGAATAAATTACATTTAAAAAATATATTAATAGAAAATGAAATTTTAATATTTCACTACATTACTGTGATGTTGAGCATAAGACACTTCTTTCAAAAACATAAAAAAATCTTACCAACCCCAAACCTATTATTATATTATATTATATTATGTAACAGGTTTTTATTGCAGAATTCTTACATATATTATAATTAAATATTATTTTTACATTAAAATTGTAATGTAATCTTAATCAAATGTGCAATGTATGCATTTGGAGACTGACTAATAAAGTGTTGCATTAGCTTTTGGCCTTCCCAGCATCTCCACTAGTACTTGTAGTGTGCAGACGAGGAATGTCAGATTGAATACGATGTTGTTAACTGCAGTTCATCTTACTCTGCATGTCATTATGAGGTCAGGCCTTAGAGTGGAGCGCAGGAGCTCTAGTGCTCAGCAGAATGTGTGACAGTCGTAGTATGACGTAGACAGTATGCTGTGGATTGCGTGACTAAATCTGTCTCCCTCTCCCACAGTAATGGCCCTGAACGACTCTGAAGTGGGCTTAGAAGTCATCTTGGCGATGAACCAACTGCTGGAACTCACCCCTTCCCACGTCACCCCTAAACCCCTGGAGGCCACAGTGATGACTCCATGGGACGTGGCCCTGTGTGTATCAGGAGCCTTGATTTGCTGTGAAAATGCAATCGTCGTGGCCACCATCTTCTCCTCGCCGTCTCTGCGGGCTCCTATGTTCCTGCTAATTGGCAGCCTGGCCTGGGCGGACTTCCTGGCAGGGGTGGGGCTCCTTTTGCACTTCCTGTCTCGCTGGTGCGTGTACTCAGAAGCTCTAGAGCTGGGCAGCGTGGGTCTGTTAGTGAGCGCACTCAGTGCGTCTGTGTTCTCTCTGTTGGGAATCACCCTGGACCGGTTCCTCTCGCTACATTGCGCTCTGACCTACGGATCCCGCCGCACACACACACAAACACGCTGCGCTCTGGCCATCGGCTGGACTCTTGCGGGTCTTCAAGGTGCCCTGCCTGCCATGGGCTGGAATTGCTTGCACGATGGAGAATCCTGCAGCGTTCTTCGCCCTTTGACCCGAGTGCACCTGGCGACCCTGTGCGGCGGCTTCCTGCTGACCTTGGCTCTGATGCTGCAGCTCAACGCTCGCATCTGCCGGGTCGTACTTCGCCACTCGCACCAAATCGCCCTGCAGAGACACACGCTTCCGTCTGCGCGCACACACACGCGCCGTCGGGTTCACACACTCACCCTCATCCTTGCCACATTCACCAGCTGCTGGATGCCCTTCGCCTTGTATGGTCTCTTGGCCGACGGATCGTCTCCAGCTTTGTATACTTACGCCACATTGGTTCCGGTCACAGGAAACTCTCTGCTGAACCCTCTGATCTATGCCTACAGAAACACACACATACAGAGAGTGCTGCGACAGGCCTGCTGCTGCTGTCTGCCTAACACACCCAACAAAAACACACACACTCCCAGTGATGTCTAACATCATGAGCACACCTGAACACTTTGGAAGATTCTATGGTGCCATACAAGATCCGTTTCATGTTTTATGTCTGTTCCTGTTTGGGAATATCACTGTGCCAGTTGCCAAATCTCCTGTCTCAATGGTGTTAACATGACCACTGTCAGTGACCTGATCTCATCTGCATCATTTTATTAAATGCTAAAAAGGGTTTAGTAACCGTGTCATTTTTTTTACTTTATTCTGAGAAGACTGCCACTGTATGAAGAAACCCTCCTGTCTGCTTTAATGTCTCAGAGTTGTGCCTCATTTTACATCCTCTGAAGTTCAGAGTTTACTGATGGAATCAAAATAATTTGCACTTTACAACAATGACTTGACTTTTAAGCTGAAACTTGTTTGAATTTTGTTTGTATTTAATGATCAGATTATTTGCCATTTGTTATTCTGACTGATGTTTTTATACATCATAAATGTCTTGTTTGCACTTACAATGTATTCATGTTGCACAAAATATCCAAATGTATGAATGAATGTTTTATTGTTTAAATGAGATGTTTTATGGAAAATGTTTATAATGAATAAATTGTAACTTTTGTACATTTTCTCTTGTATGTTTTCAAAAAAACATTTGATCATATCAAAAGTGTGAAAATGTGTGGTTTTAACTTAAATTAAGATTAATTTGGAATATTAACCCAAATAAATTAGCTGTGACTCAAGGTTATTATAGTTCTTCCATTACTTGACATGAAATATAAAAAAATTATAATTTTCATTAAAGTAACTAAATCAGAAATGAAAAAATAAAAATATATAGAATATATTTGAAAAAAGATGTTTAAAAACACTAATAAAATGCAATATATATGTATTATAATAAAACTATAACTATAACTAACAGTATCTCAAAGATACTAAAATAACACTGCTATGAATATCTAGAATTAAGTTACATGGTGTTTTACCAACAGTAAAAATCAACCTACTGCCTTATTTATTGTGCAGCAGATATTTTTTTACTAATTGCAAGGTTGTGTTGCTGACTGAGTAGGACACTTTAGGCCCGTTCACACCAAGATTGATAAATATAACGATATCAGTGCTTCACACCAAACGCCACATATTACGTTCAGCTTTTAATGAGTGTGCAGTTTTGTTGTCTGCCACTTTAAAGGCTTGAGCTCTTTAAAGATGGCAGATTCTGATAGTTCCTCTGTCATTATGGTTATAGGTGTAGTGTGGGCTTACATATTCTCATTGAATTAGAACAATTGTTATTACAATGTAACAGTTATTGCCATTAGTGAATGGGCTTTAAATGTTTGGATTTGTATTAAAATCTCATTTACAAAGTATAAATTGTAAAAAAAACAAACAAACATTAAATCATTGCGATGATCCGGCCTGTTGCATTGTTTATTTCTCAAACTACTCATGAAGCTCAAGACCACCTGTGTGGATTGAATGTTTACCCCAACCCAAGCAGCATAATAGGCATGCTGCTGTACAGTTTGAAGTCTTTAAAAGCCCCTGCACATGCAAGCTCATACATGTAGAAAAAAGTTCAGCTATGCACTCCACACTCTTCTAAAACATCTGTAACAGCAGACGGACACAGTATTATATTTAAGATTTTATTTCAGTTGCTGATAGAAAATTCATAATTATTACCCACATGTATCAAATAAAACAATCTCACTTTTCTTTGATTTCAAAATCTTGCATAATTTCTAAAACTTTGGCATTAAAACAACAGGCATTATGAAGCAGGCACTTGGGCTAAACAAAGAAAAAACTACTGGTAGTACTGTGAGGCTGA